GAAGAAGAGGAAGAAGAGGAAGAAGAAGGATCTCACTCTATAGTCTGAGGCTGGCCTGAAACTCTCTATGTAGCCCAGGATGGCCTTAAATTTGAGATCCGCTTACCTAAACCTCTGAAGGGCCAGGATTACAAACATGTGCCCACGTGCCTGGCTCAGTTTCTGCCTTATTATTGGGAGCTGGTGATCACTGAAAGACTAGAATGTGTTTGTACCCCGATATCTTCATTGTGGGATGGGGCTGCAGTGGGGGGAACACCAAGGATGTGAGCTTGGCCCATCCAGCATTTATCCCAAGGGAAATTCCAAGAGAGGAATAAACTGGATCTGGCTAACTCAGAGACAGTGTCTGTGCCAGACTTTGGGTTTGCTGAGGTCCTTGGTACGCTGAGGCCCTTGAGAATGTGGGCCTGAGCTAATGAACAATAGTGAAAGCTGGACAGCTGTACTATATGACCACAGGGAGGACAGATTCAAATGTTGCACGGGACAGGGGTCTCCCCCCGGGGGCAGAGGTGTGGCCATGGTGCTTGGCGTGGATGACCCCTGTCATCATGGACCTTGCTACATTTTCACTGCCTCATGAGCCACAGCCAGGGGGCTGGCAGCCTGGTGCCTGGCAGCAGTCCGACTGGATCATCAAGTCCCCAGTCCTGCTGGAGGAGCATTAGGCACCAGATCGAGGGGCGCCCGTGTCCAAGGGGAAGCCCCTGGAAAATGGGGATGACACACTTTGACCATGAACGTCAGTGGAATCACCCACCTGGTCAGTGCTACAAAGCCACGCTTACAGTCACGCAGGACATGGTGGTCTAGCCAGGGCCGTGCCCAGACCCAGGCCCAGCGATCCTACTGCACTGGGCCAAAGAAGCCTGGCCCATGTGCCTGGGTCCCGGCCACACAGCTGAGGAGCAAAGAGAACTCCAGGGCACGTGGTCTGTCTGGCACTGATCCTGGTGGTAGTCTGGCTGGGCCTCCCACTCTCCTTCTGAGAGTACTCTGGATGTTGATTGCCATTTTTCCAGGTGCGGGACAGTAATTCCCAGAGGAAAGGCAGATGGGGGCTGAGCTTCTCGGGGCCCCACATGGCCTTCGGTGCATATTGGATCCCCCAGGCACATCCAATCAGATAGGGTCCTGCCTGCCTTAGTAACCAAGAGTGCTCCGCAGTGGAAACTGCTTGGGACTTTCACTGGGCATGTCGTACCCTGTATCGACAGGTGGCAGCATCAAGTCATGGAAAGGACTGTCAAAGGAGTCCTTCCTCTTCCTCTCCCTCCTCATGCCTACCTCAAGGAAATAAGGTCCCCGAACCTATACTGGCAAAGGCGGGCCGGAGGTTGGAGAGTCTAACCTGGCGCTTCTTTTCCTGCCCTGCAGACACAAACCAGAGTAAGCAATGGACTGTCACACTGCGCTGGGCTTCTGCTGGCCAGCCGGGGACCTAGGCGGTTGCCAACAGCTCTTCTGCACCTGGCTTAATGAATCAGGAAAGGTGGAGCAGTCTCTCAACTTGCAGCAAAGGTAGTGTGCAGTAAGGCGGATGCCAGGGATGCCTGGGGCTCCGCAGGCCTGGCTCCAGGTGGGGCCTGGCTGCGGAGCGCCTTTGAAGTGGGCTTGCTCATGGCTGCCCTGAGTTGCAGTCACTATCATGAGGTGTCGCTTCCGAGAGATAGAAGGGCTTTGGTCTGCACTCCCCTCTGTACAATTCATTAGCTGTCTGATAAAGAGGCCTAAGTTCCTGGAAATAACTGAAAACAGTTCTTGGCGGGGGCAGACGAAGGTAGGGTGGTAGAGGTGGCGCTACAGGACAAGCTGGGGCGCAGCCCTCTGAGGAGCTTGCAGGGCCCCCTGAGGGCCGACCTTGCAGCTCCCTGTAGGTGAGGCTGGACCACCGCATGATTCCAGCCTCCGCAGGATGCCCTGCGAGTCCTCCTGTGACACGGCAGGACCCCTCCCAGAGCAAGGGGAGGCCAGCAGCCCAGGCAGGAGTCTCTCACCTTGTGGGAAACTGTGCTTGGCCATTTTGAGTCCCTCCCACCTCACCCGGATGCAGCCACAGCCCACAAACCTGCCTGACCGTAGCTCAGAGGCGCCTTCTTGTCAGAGACCTACCACCTCTCCTCCTCCACTTTCTCCCACCCACTCAGTGGATATAGGGTCCTTAGAATCTGCTGCCGGGCTGGGCGTGGTGGCACACGCCTGTTATCCCAGCACTCGGGAGGCTGAGGCAGGAGGATCATTTTGAGTTTGAGACCAGCCTGGGCTACAAAGTGAGCTCAAGGCCAGCCTGAGCTGCATATCAAGACCCTGTCTCAAAAAGACAAAAACAAAAACAAAAAAATAAAAATAAAGAACCTGCTGCCATGCCAGTCTTGCTTTTGCAGTCTGTGTAAGCACTAAGCAGCCTGGATCCACTCCAGCTTTCTGTCGCCTAACTGGGAACACACTTATGTAACTATGACACCAGAGAAGGTTTAGAACTCCCCTCAAAATGCCTCCTGACAGTCAATATGCATTCTCACCTCTGCCCTGTAACTGCTTTTTAATCACTATATATTGTTTCTTCTAGATTTTCAGATTAGACTCATGCAAGAATATGTACTCTTATGCGTCTGGCTTGGTCACACTCAGCATGTTTCAATATTTACCACATCCCTGTAGGTTCTTGTGCTTTGTTCCTTTTCATTGCTGAGTAGTATTTCACCACAACTAGTTATGGTGAAATAAACTAGTTATGGCACCATAATGTGCCATAACTAGTTTATCTGTTTACCTGGATGCTTGAGTTTTCAGTTTTAGGTTGTGATGAATGAAGCTGCTATAGGCATGTGTACACCCAAAAGGATTGTGCTATGTATTGTAAATTATACATTTATTTAAAAAAAAAAAAAAAGGTTAGAGAACAAACAAGAGCTCTTGAAAATTAAGATTCTCTTCAAAATGAAGAAATCCCCCTGGAAAAAAAAAATCTCACAGAACACAGGGCAAAATACAAAGTATCCAGCATTCCTTTTAGAATACAAACCTGGAAAAATGTTACCACTGGTGCTAAAAGAAATGGGAGTTAAAGAATGAGATGGTACTTTGTACCTGGTTAATCAACTGAAAACTGTTTAAGCAGTATTAACAGTTGGGTTTTGACAGTATAAATCCCTGGCACAATCCTAGGAAACAACAGAAAGCCAAGTCCTCCACCTGTCATATCAGGGCCTATATTTTTCCCAGGAAACCTCACTGCTGTGGATTTTTCCAAAGATAATGGAGTAGTTTATAAGCAATAGAAATTTATTTCCACAGTTCTGGAGGCTGAGAAGTCCAGGATCCAGGCACGAGCAGATTCTGTGTCCGGCTGGTAGATGGCACCTTCTAGCTGTGCTCTCACAAGGTGGAAAGGACAAGGGCGCCTTCCCGGTCCTTTTATAGGAGCATTAATGCCATTGCCGAAGGCTCCCCCATGACGCTCTAATCGCCCCCAAAGGCCCGGCTGGCGGTTAGGTTTCAACAAGAGGCGGGCACAGCTCCTATCAGATGCTTCAAGGAGAAGAAAAGTTGGGCGTGGGGGCGCAGCCTGTAATGCCAGTACTCTGGGAAGCTGAGGCTGGAAGATTGCAAGTTCAAGTCCAACCCCGGGAAACTTAGCAATTAAGCAAGATCCTGTCTCGAAAAATAAGAAGCCAGCCTCGGCTACATAGTGAACTCAAGGCCAGCCTGAACTACACAGCAAGACCTTGTCTCAGGAAAAAAAAAAAAAAAAAAAAAAATTAAGACTGATGTAGCTCAGTGCCATGGCCCGGTGTTCAGTCTGCGGTCAGACACACACACACACACACACACACACACACACACACACACACACGTGGACTTTCTGGAGTTGTCTATTGCAGTACGGTTTATGTTGCTTTAAAATTGTCAACTGTCAGTTATCATTGACAGTTTGGTGGCAGGAAAGAGACACTCGCGATGGCGTGTGACAGCCCAGCACCGACAGGAGACCCTCTGCCGGAAGAGCCAAGGGCAGGAAACCCAGGCCGCCTGCAGCCGAGGGGGCAGCCGAGGAGCGCGCACCCCACCAGCCGTTGCGCCGGTGACGGGTGCAGGAGCGTTTATGCTCCTCTCCGACAATGCACTCACTCTAGGAACACGGGAAGAAATAAAGTTGCGCGCGGATGCGCGCGGGGCTCCGCAGAGCGCCCAGGCCGGCCGGGCTCCGCATGCGCAGTGCGGCCGCCGCCGGCTCCGGGTC